CAGAAAGTGGTGTGAATGCAATCCAATTCAACTGAGTGATCGCAAGGGAGATAGTCATAGCCGTGGTCATGGTCACTCTTACCAAGCCACCCTTCACCAAGTTCGACGGTGTGCGTATTGTGATGGCGAGGATCACAAAGCAATAGAGTGTAGAAAGGTCACTGATGTTAAACAGCGTAGAAAGATCCTTAGCAAAAAGCGACTTTGCTTCAATTGCACTGGCGCAAGACACCAAGCAAAGGATTGTAAGAGTAAGCACACCTGTCAAAAATGTGGTGATCGACATCATACCTCCATATGTGATAAGAAACTTGGCAAAGAACAAATGCTGGTGGCAACAGGTGAATCTACTGTAATATATCCAGTGGTAGTGGTGTCAGTTGATGGGATCAAATGTAGAGCGCTCCTAGACTCGGGCTCCGGGAGTTCATATGCTTCATCATCTTTAATAAAAAACCTACACAAGAAACCAGCGCATACCGAGCACAAGCAAATCGAGATGATGGTTTGTTCAACCACCCAAAAGGTCAACAGCTACAAGGTGAACATCTCGAGTGTCAATAAGAAATTTGAAATGTCAACGATGCTCAATGAAGTGGATAAAAGTGTGCTACTTACAGTCCCAAACCCTAGATATGAAGAGCTTCTGAAACGATACAGACATCTGAAGGGAGTGGTAATGGACGACAACGACGAGAAGAGTGAATTGCTAGTTCATGTTATACTAGGAGCTAGCGATTATTCGAGAGTCAAAATGGAAACGAAACCGAGAATTGGTCAACCACTAGAACCGATAGCCGAGCTGACAACATTAGGATGGACGGTGATGTCTGCTGGCAGTGAGTCTAATCTGTCAAATGTTTATGCAACCAGAATGCCATCTGCAGATTACCAAGAGTTATGTAGTTTGGATGTATTGGGTCTGGAAGACCGACAAGAAGGAGATCAACAAGTCATTTATGAGGAGTTTGTGGAACAGCTAACCCGGAATAAGGACGGCCGGTACGAGACAAGTTTGCTATAGAGACCTGGACATGATCCCTTGCCAACAAATGAACGTGGAAGTCTAAAGCGGTTGGAGAGTCTCATAAAGAAACTAGGAAGAGATCCAGTCCAGTTGGACAAGTATGATGCCATCATTCAGGAACAGTTAACAGAAGGTATTGTGGAGAGAGCTGTCGATGAGCCACAAGGTAGAGAATTTTATATTCCCCACAAGCCTGTAATCAAGGAAACTGCCAAAACTACAAAAATGAGGATTGTTTTTTATGCGTCTGCGAGAGAAAGTGGAAAAGTCCCTCCTTGAATGATTGCCTAGAGACAGGCCCACCTCTCCAAAACCTCCTATAGAATGTTCTTGTCCGGAACCGACTGAAGCCAATTGCTTTATCTGCAGATCTGAAAAAGGCTTTCTTGCAGGTGCTTATTCGTGTCGAGGACAGAGATTCCTTACGCTTCCACTGGATCAAGAACAAGGACCCCAGTGACATTGAAGTTTTGAGATTTACACGAGCGTTGTTTGGTTTAGTCCAATTCCCTTTCCTTTTGGCTGCAACACTGAAGCAACATTTGAACGGGCTGCGAGAGACATACCCGAAAGAGGTCGAGGAGATAGAGAAGTGTCTGTAAGTCGACGACATAATCACTGGTGGATGCACGAATGACGAAGTCCTGAACTTGAAAGAAACTACCATATCTGTGTTCGAGGAAGCTACCTTTGAACTCCATAAGTGGCATTCCAATGAGCCACAACTGGAAAGTGCACAGGAGAATAATCATGTTGTTGATCATCAACAGAGCTATGCCAAAGAACAGTTAGGAGTGCAACATGGTGAGACAAAATTGTTAGGACTATCATGGAACAAACACAATGACACACTTAGTGTTGCCTTTCCAAATAAGCCTGAAGAGATCACAAAGAGGGAGATCTTACGATTTCTCGCATCAGTTTATGATCCTCTTGGGATTGTATCGCCTGTTACCCTGCTTGGGAAGTTCATATTTCGTGAGGTTTGCGACCAACAACTTCCGTGGGACGAAAAACTGTCTGACAACTTTGGACAACGGTGGCTGAATTTCCTGCGGTGCCTTCCTGAGAAATTTCATTTGGCAAGAAGTATCCCAAGATACAGAGAACCCCTGGAAGAAGTGGAGTTACACACCTTTGGCGATGCCAGTGGGTCCGGTATTTCAGCAGTAGTATATGCGGTAGTCAAGCAACCTTCAGGAGTAAGTGTCGAATTGGTGGCGGCAAAATCACGATTGTCCAAGAAGAATCTTACAATCCCAAGGCTGGAACTGGTATCTGGGCATATGGCCGCGAATTTAGTTGGCAATGTACGAACTGTATTATCGGGGTATCCAGTGAGAGCAGTATTTGGATGGTTAGATAGTCTAGTCGCCCTCCACTGGATCAAGGGAGGAGGAACATACAAGCAATTCGTTTCCAACAGGGTGAGGAAAATAAAACGAGAAGGAGTTCATTGTATGGCGACATGTTGGCACTGACCCTAACCCAGCTGATCGAGGGAGTACAGGATGTGAAGTAAATCGTTTAACTGGTGAATGGCTGAACGGACCTGTTTGGCTTGCTGATCCTGACCAGTGGCCTGCCTCTGTGATGACTGAGCCTAGTCAAGATTCGGAAACTGAAGCCAAGAAGATCAAAGAAATCCTTGCGACAGCGATAGAAACGAAAGATAACCTTGATGCACTGTTAATCAAACATCCTTACTGGAAGACAATCCGTATTAACGCCTGGATAGCGAGATTTCTCCACAACTGCAAGATTCCAAAACATTTGCGAATTCTTGGCCCCCTGACGACCGAAGAAACAGAGCAACAAGTGAAGTGGTGGATCCGAAGAGTCCAAGAGAGATACAGAAAGACGGAGAAGTTTCGCGATGATGAGCTTACCCTTAACCTACAAAGAAATCATGATGGAATCTACGAGTGTAGAGGTCGCATCCAAGGGAGTTACCCTGTGTACTTACCACCTAAAGTCGTCCTATCGGAAAAGATTGTGCAAGATGCTCATGAATTGACTCTCCATGGAGCAGTCGGCCTTACCATGGCACTCGTTCGCCGCGATTACTGGTTACCACGCCTGCGACAGCTTGCATGAAGTGTCAATACTCGTTGTTTTGGATGCAAGAAGTTTCACACGACAGCCTTCCACAACCCTGCCCCCGGAAACCTACCTGTTGAGCGTACCGAAAGCTCATCGCCGTTCGAAGTGATTGGCGTTGATTACGCGGGTCCGATAGTCTATAAAGTTTCCAAGAAGAGAGAAGGCAAGTCTTACAATTTGCTCTTTGCCTGCAGCTTGTCAAGAGCGATCCACCTCGAGCTGCTGACAGACCAGACTACAGATGGGTTTATACGCTGTTTGAAGCGATTCATTGCAAGACGGGGAAGACCTTCCACCATATACTCAGATAATGGGAAAAGTTTTGTAGCCGCCGCAAAGTGGTTGAATGCGTTGATGAAGGACGAGAAGTTACAAGATTACCTTGCCCATCACCTAATCAAGTGGAAATTTAATTTGGCTAAGGCACCCTGGTGGGGTGGACAATTCGAACGCTTAGTGGGAATCGTTAAACAAGCTCTTTGTAAGTCGATTGGTCGAGCTATTCTGGATTTTGATGAATTGGAGGAAGTTTTACTCGATGTGGAGATTGCTGTTAATAACCGTCCCTTATCGTATGTTGAGGACGATGTTCAACTCCCAGTTTTGACACCGAACCTCATCATGTAAGGTCAGTCAAATCTCCTACCTGAAGCAGATGTTGATTCTATTGAAGAAACCGATTTACGAAAGAGAGCCAGATACCTACGTCGTTGTAAAGACTTATTGTGGTCACGTTGGACCAACGAGTACGTGAGAAGTCTAAGAGAAAGACATTACCTGAAACACAAAAGCAAAAGTTTATCGCTGAAAGTCGGTGACGCAGTTCTAATTCGAAGTGACCAGAGAGATCGTGGGAAATGGAATATTGGAATCGTGGTGAAGCTGATCAAGGGAAGAGAAGGAGTAATTCGTGCCGCCAGATTGAGAGCCGGGAAATCGTTTATTGAACGAGCGATTCAACAATTATGCCCTATGGAGTTAAGCTGTGACATTACGAAGGGACAAGAAGAGCAAGCGGAGAGTTTAAATCCTCGAGCAAGAGAGTTCACGCCCAAAAGAGCTGCAGCTGTGACAGCAAACGAACGGATTAAAGATATGTAGAGAGTACAGTTGAGTAAGGAAATTGAACGAAGCCTGTGAGACCACTTGAACCAACTGTAGTGTAGGACAATTAACTTCTAATTATGTTTATATTTGCCTCAAATGCATGAGTCAAATAGGGGGAAAGTGTCGGGGCTTTTATAATCTTAAAATTCATCGGAAACAAATCGGACAGGACTCGGGATTGTGATATTAAAATTCGTCGGAAGCGAATCGGACAGGACTCGGAATATACCGGTGATATAACAACAACCACGAGGAACGATAAAACAAAACAAATAAAGACGAGATTATGTGAGAGTTTATGCATGTTTTTATAGTTTCAAACTTTAAATAAATATCAAAAAACATTCGCGACAAAAATATTGAATTATCGCACCCTGGTTGAAAGGTCAATCTGCTGACCTCAGCTTCAAAATGGCGTTGAATAAAATTTTAATATAACCATGAACTGAGAAAATTGTTGATACAGCGTTGAATTCAAGGCACATGCCCAGGATTTACATGAAACAACTAAGGAGAAAAATGTTCATCGAAACAGTTTAACGTTTTAGTGTTTAATCCGATGCTTACATTTTAAATATTTATGAGTTTGGAATTGAAGTATTAATATTAACGTTCAGTTTTACACACAAGTTAAACGTTTTTATGGGACAAAACCGTTATGTCATCATTTGCTGGTGAACACGCATGGCAATATGCAATGGAAAATTGATGTCCAATGGCAACCTCGTTCCCAGGGGCATGTAGTCTGTACAAGATTCGCTTGTCACGACACCGAGATTTAAAGTTTCAGGATACCCCGAATATTTGAAAATTGCGACTATGCGATAAAATAAAACAAAGATTGAGAAGGGGATAAAATTTGTAAGCAAGCATTACTCCTGAACGGCAAGTGTTGGTGTCAGGCAAAACAAGCGAATCCGTATATTCCTGTACAGCGTAAACAGGTTACGCGAGGTTTTATATTTGTGTTTATTTATATCAAACTAACTCAGATCTAAGAGCATATTTAAACTAAATATTAAAGGCAATAGCCATATTGTTCAAGACGCGAGAGAAAGCAAATTTCGTGTGAATCACCACTTGGAGACTCCTAGATGCAGCTTGGAAATCATGTTGATATACAGTTGTGCCTATGCCTTTTTCTGTCGCTGTGGTTGAAAATCTTCAGAAATATCGGTATATCTTAGAAAACATCGACGCTGTCTTCAGCGATTTCAGCTGATTCGTGCCATACTTCGCTAAATAATTTTCAGTTAAGAATATCTCGCCACTCCTTGACGAGTAGCTGTCAAATATATCCATATTTTGGGTAGTCACGTGACCGGCCCAGACCAGGGCTTTCTCGTCTCTCCCCTCGTCCTCATACGAAAGCCCTGGGAACGAGGTTGGTCCAATGGGTTGGTCCAATGGTTTTGATGTCTACCAAGCGAAACATTCGACATCGAATTTAGTTCCATTCGATATCAATTGCGATTCACTTCCAAATTTCAAGGTATTATTGCTATTGCACTAAATATTTTAAGCATCATAAATCTTAGCTTTGATTTTCGAGTTGGTGGCATGTGTTTATTTATGACCGTAGTTATGTATATTTTATTCTACATGTATTGTCTGTTGTTGTATCTTTAATCGGAGGAGTGCCTCGCATGGGACCTCGAGTCCCGTTCGCACTCCTACCGTTTGGTCACTATCCAATAAAGTATTTAAAACAAATCAATGATGGCATAACTGATACTGCAGCATGATGGAATCAGGGCCGTCACTAAGGCGGGGGGGGGGGGGGGGTGACACCCCCCTAAAAACATCTTTTTGGAAAAATAACGGATTTGTTAGACTCCGGGCTGACGTCCCTCAGGAGAAAGGAGGGACTGCCGACAACACATCAAGAAACGAAATACGCGTTGCCCACACAACGCAAAATCCCCATTGGTCGAAATCGATATGCTTGTCAATCAAATCTGATATGTAGTAATTATGCAAAATAATTTTCGGACTTGAATGTTGATTTTATAAATAAACATGACAGGCTTAAATTAGTGATTCCCATTGGATAGATTTAATTGGATATAAGTAATGTTTATGCAAAGGCGGAGCCAACTTGATAAAAGCGAAAAGTGGGCGTATTTCGTTTCTTGATGTGTTGTCGGCAGTCCCTCCTTTCCCCTCGCACGCCTGGGAATCTAAACCCACGGAAAGGAGGGACCGCTCGCAGTCTACGGATTTGTCAGCAAATTGTTTTCGTAGTCGGCAAAACATGAATTGGATTGGAAGGAAAAGAACTGAACTATTCGAGTGACACTGATGTAAAAGTAACAGTTAGCCAAAGTTTAACCCAAAAGCGAATGAAAAATACAATGTCGGGCGATTTTTTTTGGGTGAACCATACTCATTAGCAACTAAAATGTTGTCGGAAAATACGATACTACACCCCCCTGCTTTAGCCTCTTTCGCGACGGCGCTAGATGGAACTCAAGTAAAATTAATGTTAATGCAATGAAGTGAATTAACTTCGGAATGGAACTGGCCGGTATACATGGTCAAGATGTACAGTAGTCGCCAGTGTATAAGTAAGTGACAGCTGTATTTGAGTTAATTTAATATTCCCGGTTAAATTTCCTGGTTAATCTCACTTCCTACCATAGTCTAGTTGATGTAACCAGGTTATATTAGTTTATATTTTACCAGGACATCCTGCTTAAATTAACCCAAACTATGCATCTTAGGTGGATAATTATGCAGGAACCCCTGGTTAGTTATCCAAGCTAAATTGGTCTGATCACAAATAACCTGTCACATCCATGCTTGTCTAGTCTAAGACTGCTATAGTGAAAACACACAAAGATACTATACCTGACTAGTAATCGGCCCCATTTGTTGCCACTCCTTTCCTGCTTGTATAGCTCTCCCGTACATTTTGCCACACCAGAAAGTAAAAATAACTAACTTCCAGCATTTGTACCAACGAGGTTTCATTGATTGGTCGGCAATATTAAGTGGCCGGAAATAATTTTCAGCAAGTTGCAGTAAACGTACAGCTCGATGATAATTTCTTAAATGAACCATATTCATACCCTGACTTTTCAAGTTGTCGCCTATTTTCTACATGAATAAAAAATGTTGAATTAAAACATTTTGAAAGAACTGCCAGAGGCTTTTAAAGGCGCGCAGGCAAAGGAAAAGAAACTAAGCGAGCGATCGTCATACTTATAATAAATATAACTAAAAGGCAAGCCCCCTCGCGCGATAATAACTGCCTTACTTCGAACTCTGTGATTGATCCTTTCCATTACAGTCGCAATATGTTCATAGCGACACTTAGTTAGAAATAGCCAAATTTGGTTATGTGATGACCACATGTTGCGCTAAGTCGCTAATGTTGGATCTAGTGTTTTGCCCACTGAGCTGCAATATGTATAGCTCAGTGGTTTTGCTGTTCGTTATTTAATTGCTGGAAATAGTTCCTTCATAACCAAGAGGGATAGGGACACAACGAAAAGATGTACGAAATTAACCTATATATATGGATATATTTAACGCTGGCTGTACTCGCAGGCTGTGTTTCAGGCTGTGCTCGCAAGAAGAACTTCATTTTCTCCAACCCCTGTCTATGTGCTTCTTGTAATTAAATTATTAAATTCGCGTACGAATTTCAGCTAAAAGTGCATGTATTCAGAATCGAGTAATTTTTTTCATTAATATGAGTATGACATGTTTATTAATATGACTTGATGATTTTTTCAATAATATGACTATGACATGTTTTATTAACTATTTAGGAATTTCATAATGAAAGAAACTCACCAATGGTGGGCCAACGTCCAATTTCTTGGCCTCTTCAATATCTTTTTCACATTCTGCCTGATCTCCGATGTTATAGTGAGATAAAGCTCTGAAGGAATAGATTTTACTCTGAAACGTGTTTCCAGCAGAAAAATACAAAGCAGCAGAATAACACCATATTACCACCTTGATGAAACCATATCTGAGCACCCTCCTACAACTAAGCAATTAGATAACATTCAAATAATGAATTTCTAACTCACTTACGGGGTTTGACATTAGAGATTTTCCTGGTACCATTACGGATGCCAGTTACCACTCCAAGGTTGTCATCTTAACTGAAAAACTTGTATCCCATTTTGTGCATTAGATTATAATATACTGTTTCAAAATATCACCTTCTTGCCTGATAGAACCGCGAATTTCAGGTGACCTATATAATAGCGGGTGTCTGTGCTCAAAGTTTTGAATACTCACCATAATCATGCACTAAACCTGAGGAGAATAATACTTTTAGGTTAAATTTTCTGAGAAATGTTCAAAAATCAGTTTAAATTAATAAATTAAAAATTTCAGTGTCAGATCGAATTCAGTCGAGTTTACGGTTCGATTCGAGTCACAGTCGAGTCGGTTTGAGCCTCACTGGTTTGAGCTGAATCCAGTCACGATCGGAAATCACACACAGAAAACTGGATAAGTGCCTCGTCTTGCAACCCGATATTTTGAATGTTTGTCCCTCCACCACCCCCTCCCTAATTCTCCATGCAAATTGTGCATTATTTGAAATAGCGTAAAACATTGTCTAAGGGATAGCGGTGCATGGATAAAAAATATCCGTGCAAGATGAAGTAGTTACCGAAAACTGGCTAAATTCATGACAACGCGGGCTTACGTCTTGAGTTTTCATGTATTTTGTGTTTCTATGGGAGCGTACCGAACTCGGTTCCAGTCGGTTGGTTAGTTCCGGTCGGCAGCGGCGTAGCCAGCTCGATAATTAGGGGAACCATATTGATATATTCGCGTTCTGCATTATTAATTTATTTTGAAATCGATTGTTTTTAAGGTCTGTGAAGACGAATATATGAATATGACACACACATCCCCCCCCCCCCCCCAATAAA